CTGACCGGCCATGCGGACGGTGAGGTAGGCAGACGCTCCCACGTGTGAGGAGACGGGGCTGTGTTCGTGGCAAAACTTACAAGAAATGATTTTCACCTTGTAACCCTGCTGACGGCTCTGTCTCAGGGAAGCAGAGTTCCCACACGCTCCCACATTCAGGGATGTCTGGAAGGAAGCTCTGCCGGGCAGAGGCAAGGGAGGAAAAGCAAGTGCTTTTGGATTTCACCCCCAGGGTCAAGTTCTAGGGCCTTCTCAAAATCCCAGATCAGATCATGAAAGAAGTTAATGAGGAAAGGTGGCAGGAAAGGAAAGGAAAGGAAAGGAAAGGAAAGGAAAGGAAAGGAAAGAAAGGAAAGGAAAGGAAAGGAAAGGAAAGGAAAGGAAAGGAAAGGAAAGAGATGGGGAAGGAAGAAGAGAAGTCTAAGGACCCCACCAGTGGCTCCAAGAGGTAGCCAGCCATGCGGGAGCAGAGGGAAAAGGCCTGTGTGCCATGAGGGCGTCACTGTGCTGCTCCAAGAGAAGAGGTAAGGCTCACACGACCGTATTTCCTGAGAGTATTTTCCCAGACAAGAAAGCACAGAATTCTGTCATACAGAACGAGAGAGAGAGACTTTTATAAATCATAGCTATAGGAAAGTGTCTGCACATAGTAAAATTAGAAGCAGTGGGACATGAAATATGGGATGAAGAATGAGACAAAGCCTAGTTTTCATCATTTCTTTAATCTCTTTGCTCTCTTCTATAAAATGCAGATGATTAAAAAGATTCTTATACTCTAGTTATATTAAGAAATGCTTTGGTAGCCAGCTTCTGATACCAAAAGCTCAGCAAGAGTTCACCTTTGGTCCTAAAAGCAGAACACAGTCTCTGGCCAACACTCGTATGTGAGAGGATGGCTAGTGTCAAGTTCTAGGGTGTCGGCTGGTCATGTATGCCGTCTTCCCGAATGCAAGAGAGCTCTTGGTGCAACAGAGACCAGAATCAGAGACAGGAGCCCAGAGGGGCAAACCCATCGACGCTGAGGCTGCTAAGTCCTCAAAAGGCAATACTGACCACGGGGAACATAAGACAAAGCCTTAAAAACAAGGATCGACACCCCCGGGAGGAGAGAAGGAGACAGGATAAGTCTGCAGGCATATGTGTCATGTTATTGGAAAGCTTCAGCTGCCCAGTGGAACCTTTCCAACATCAACAGTCCCCAGGCCAGAAAACAAACCTGGCGTCACAGGGTCTGAGTGTGAAAGAAGAATGTTTGGGGTGGTAGAAGGGACTAGGATGGCCTTCTTGCCTCTAAGAGAGGGTGGGAAGAGCGCTCACCTAGACTGGCTTCTGAGTCCTGCTTCACCCTTTCCATGGGTGGGGGCTGACGCTCTTCTAACCCAGAATCTTCTGGCAAACTCCAATGGGAAACTGCCTCGGGGGCTTGACCCAGAGGCTCCACTCTGTACCAGAGCCAGCTGCCCAGACATGAGTATCACTAACGTGTTATCTGACTTCTCATCAACCCAAACGAGATAACATGAAGAGCGCTTGACACAAGATTCAAAGATATTCCGTCAAGAGTAGCCATTATTTTTTAAATCATTCATGATATACCTAACTCTGTGTTAGGCATTTCACATATATCGTTGAATCCTCAGAAAAACCCTGCAAGGCACTCAGAACCTTGTTTGACAGCTAATGAACTTTCTTAAGGTCACTCAGCCTCTCACGGGAAGCCAGCACGGGAAGCTAGGTCTGCTGGTTTGTCTGATACCGAAGCCCATGCTGATGCCATTACGAGGTTTACCACTTCTGTATAAAAATGACCCCTAGCTCTGCCCACAAAAGCCAGACGTCAGGAAGCCTCCCCGGCATCCCATTTGTGAGAGAATACACCAGGACAGAATGCTGAAGCTCGGCAAAGGTTCACGTTGGACGGGGCAGGGCCACGTGAGCTGCCCCAGGTCCCTGAGCTGATGATGCAGGCTTCCCCGGGCCTGTTGGGAAACATCTCCCGAGGCACGGCCCCTACTTCTGCCTGGTCTATGAGAGGGGCCAGGCACCAGGAGAAAGACACCCCCATGCACACATTCCCGTCCAGATGCTTCTAATTCCGACTCACAGACCAGGGGCCAACAAACTGCTTTCTGTAAGGGGTCAGATAGAAAGCATTTTAGGTTTTGCAGGCCAGACAGTCTCTGTCACAACTATTCAGCTCTGCTGTTGCAACCTCCAAACAGCCATAGGTGATATGTAAACAAGTGGGTGTGGCTGTGTTCCAATAAAACTTTATTTGCATGAAAAGGCAGCTGGCCATTTGCCAGTCCCTGCCTAAATGCCTTTGTGACACCATGCTATTTTATACATAATTCTGTCAAAAGGATCGACAGGTACTCAGTATTACCACTCGATCATGATGGAGAAAGTCCTCAGTTTACCAGAAAATGCCTAAGGTCTGGATCTCTGATAATTATTGCTGGCCTCAATTTCTCCCAGGGAAGCTTTAGCTCTCCCTGAACTTTCCTGTTCTACACACTAACCTTCCAGACATAACTGGAGCCAACCAGAAAAAAATGAAGATGGCTGGGTCACACCAATAAAAGGAAGGCGGTTGTACCTGCCTGGATACCATTACTCCATGAAGACCCAGTAGTCATCCAGTTGGCAACTATCCAGGGCAGGTAGGAATGGAAAGCTGAAGAACTCGAGCAGAAGTAAACATCAAATAGCTTCACATCACCACTTTACTTCACTCCGAGAAAAGAGCCCAAGAACACAAGCACTGTGTTCGCAAAGATAAATCACTTTCCCCAGCCCCACCCCTTACTGGCTGGGACCCAGGATAAGTTACTTCCTCTCTCTCAGCCTCCATTTCTTCACCTGTCAGATGGAGGTGATAACAACACTTATCTCATTGGATTGTGGTGAAGCTTCAAGGAGATAACACACGTAAGGTGTGTAGGATCCGAAAAGATGATTCCGATTTTGATGATGATGATGATGGTGATGATGGTCTTTTCTGTCCTCCCCCAGAGCATTCAAACACAGTGAGCTAGATTCTATAATAGATATAATAGGCAGGCAACAAAGCCCTTGCCCTCACAGAGTTTAGAGCCTTGGTAGAGAAATTAGCCACTGGTAGATGAAAGCAATTTCTGGAAGCAACTGCTAAATGTCGAGTGAGTGTTCCAGGCAAACAGTGCTGCAGGATTTCAGAGAGCGCTGACTGTCATAGCTGCCTCTGGTCACAGAGTGACAATAAAGCCTCTAAATAAAGGCTTTGCAGACCTGCTGGGAGTAGGTGGGGACCAGGGATAGGGGGACCACTGGCACCAAAACCATGTCGCTTTGACTTATCACATTTGTCTAACAGCAAGAGGGGAGGTGGAAGAAGGTTCTACAAAGAAGCTTGAATTGAAGAATTCTCACTGTAAGTGGTATCATTAACATTCCCATTTTTCCTATTGCAATGATGATCGCAATAACTAATGTACTTTCAGCTTCTCTTGTCCTTACTGTTGACCACTTAGCCAGGCACTGGTTAAGTACCAGATAGACAGTATCTCGGTTAACCTTTACCCAAAGTCCTTCAAGGGAACGATCATGACCCCAGATGAGAACTGAGGCGCTGGAAGGATTATTTCACTTGCTTGGATCTCTTGCTAAGTACAGGAGCCTGAAAGCAAATGCAGGTTTGCTGATTCCAACACCAGTGCTTTAACCACAGCACTGTTCTGTCCAAGACCCTGGCCCATGGGACTCACCTGGTCTTCTTCCCACCCCATCATCCCCAACCTCCACCTTTGTCAATCAGGGAATCAGACACATGTGGAGGTACTGACCTGCCCACATCACAGAGAAAATCCAGCGATGCTGTACGGGGTCACCAAAATGGGTAACTTCCTTCGTACCCTTGAGTTCCTCCACTCCCACCTTTAGGCTAGAGCTGGCAGACGGATACACCTAAAGGGGCTCAATGATAGCCCACTCACTAATTAAAGGTCTTCTAAAACTACCCATCAGTTCAAAGGGATGGATCTTTTGTTTATAGACCTTGATATCCATAGGGAGAAAATGATATGGCTGAAATGAAATTCACCAAATTTATGCAGGCATAAATTATGCAGAGGGGCATTTCTCACAATGAAGTCCTAGGCGAAAAGAAGGGTGATTTCCCCACGATGGAGATACAGATTGGCTTTGTTAACACACTTTCCTGTCGGTGGACATCTGGTCTTTACTGATGGTGAAATGAACTTTATTGACTTTGGTCTTCATTGATGATAAACGAACTCTATGAAAGAGTCCTATGAATCTGATCACCCTCCAAAACTCGTCACCCTCCAAAACTCGTCACCCTTCTACAAGGAGCTCAGCCAGTACCAAACCTGACCACTCATAAAACCCTCAAAAGATGAGATCAGAAACGACATGACTGTAAGCAATTATTTGGAGCCTTAAAAAATACATAGAACCGGGGTTCCTGGGTGGCTCAGTTGGTTAAGCAACTGCCTTCGGCTCAGGTCATGATCCTGGAGTCCCGGGATAGAGTCCCACATCAGGTTCCCTGCTCAACAGGGAGTCTGCTCTTCCCACTGACCTCTCCTTTCATGCTCTCTCTCTCTCAAATAAATAAATAAAATCTTAAAAAGAAAATCTTTAAAAAAAAATACATAGAACCAAGTCTCCTAAGCCTTGAGGTCCAACATTTCCAGGTCATTTTTTTTCAAATTCTTCTGCATGGCATGTAGAGAGTCAATTAAAACAGAAAAACATATAGTTAAAAGATTTTTTGCTAAAAGATCAGCTCCTCATGAAAGATGATACCTGAGCTACTAATTGAAGAAAATTAAAGTTGGAAGGGATTCACTCATCTAATCTCGCTTTATAGCTATAGAAGTTGAAGACAAGACACGTTAGATGACTTGCCCAAGCCCATACCGCGGGTAGTCACAGAGCAACCGTGGGGCAACTGCAGGCGATTCGGGCACATACACAATCCCAGGCAGATTATTTACCTGAATTCCTTACATTGGTGTTGTTCAGTTTGGAGTCCTTGATTACCAAGTGCTTAATCCACAGAGTAGGAGCTGTAATTTCTGGGGCAGGAAAAAAAAAGAAGAAGAAGAAGAAGAAGAAGAAGTGAGAAAATCTGGGCAAAGGGAGTGGTTAACTTAGAGGGTAGCCCCCAGGCTTCAGGAACTTTTTCTAAAGCCTGAGGCATCAAGGCTTTGAGCTTTCTTCCTCATTTCACATCCACTTTGTCCCAACACCTCTCCCTTCTCACTACGGAAGCTCCTCTCCCCGCCAGCTCATGGGAGCCAACCAGGGCCTCCCCTGCTCAGAGGCAGAGTGGTCTAAGTCCAGAGGCGCTGAGCTGCTCCATCCAGGAATAAAAATATTATCCCAGGAGGTGAGGAGCATGGGCCAAGCCAAGTCTCTCTCAGCTGCTTCCCTGGAAGAAGATTTAAAGGGGATAAATCAACAAATGAATGCCAAGCAAACCACAGAGACCATTTTGGAGGAAACGGCTGAGCCACAGCAGATTTCAGCTTGCTGAGACTCTGTTCCACATGGAAGGAAAGTGGTGAGTCCAATGTGTGCGTCAATATCCTTCCTAATGGTTTCTCAGGGACACAGGCTGACTCCTCCATCCAGAGAGCTTGGGGGAGATCTCTAGGCCCTTTGGGGCTTGGGTCACACGATGGACAAGTGGTATGAGAATCGGGAGGACCCTGAACTCAAGAGTGATGAGTCCTTCAGTGAGATTGCTGGGGTGATCTCCCAAGGTAACATGGTCTCCATTTCCCATCTGATCCCTCGAGATCCCCGACTTGCCAAAAATCCAGGAGATTTGTGGATCACAGAAACATCTGAATTTCTAGGCATAAACACATGTATGTATGTTCCACTAAATGACCAGTTGTAAAGGAGAGCTCACATGTCAGTCCTTCTACCTAGAGGTGGGCCTCTGCTCGGGACGTCCGTAGGCACAGTACTGACCAGTGGCATAATTTCTTTTTATTCGTCTCCCAGTCCAGTCTCATGATCCAGGTCTGGATACACTCAGCTGAAAGCTGCTCAAAGTTTGCTGTGTATTGCACTGATAGCCGAACCCTGGTGTCAGACTTTCTAGAAACTGCATTTTGCCAAGCTTCCTACTTCCCCTCATGGGAGCCTGGAGTATATGGCAAAGTGCACTGAAGAATGTAGGCCATGAGCAGCTCAAACTCAAATAGAGGCCAGCCTTCTGCACCCCACACTCCTCCTATCTAGCCCTCATACCCCCAGGGACATTCAGCCTCTATCTTCCTTCCAGCAATACTATGTCTCTTGCTCTAGAATTCCCTCTCAAATGCTCTCAAGGTCCAACTTTGTCAAACCAGGTCCACTAACCAATCTCTTTCCTCCTACTGTCCTACTATACCCCAGCCTCACCATACTCTCCCTCTCTGTCCCTACCAGTTCCCCCACTGCCTTGATTCTTCCCTTCCCCTTTCACGATCCAGCCTGGGTCCCATCTCTTCACATAGTCTTCCCCCAGACCACTGTGATCTCCTTTCTCCCAAAAACGTCCACTACAATAAAAACTAAGACCATATAATTTAACATCTAAAGCTCTCCAGTAGTTGCCATTGTCTTGAGAGCAAAGACTTCATCTCAACTACTCCTTCTTGGTCCCCCAGAGGCCTACCACAATGGTGGGCACAGAGAAGGGACTTGTAAGTGTTGGTTCATCTACTGAAGGGACAGTGCTGGCCTGTCTTTCTTAGCCATGGCTCTTTGGTCTTGGCAGCTCAAAGGGTCCATCCAGGCTGTGTTATTGTTGGACATCAGCAGCCAGGCAGGAAGCCTGGCTAGAACAGAGGGCCTGTCCAGAAGTAGAGAGTGTACCAGTTCCTGGGAGGATCTGCATTTTTTTTTTTAAAGGTTAAAACAACCCAGCCTAACCTGGGAAAAACTGAAATTAAAAAAGAAAAAAAAAACCCAATAATAAAGTTTATACAAACATCCAAAGAAAAGATGTTCCTCAAATCTAAAAATGGGTGGGAGTATACGAGTCGGAAGTGATACAAGATCTTACCATCTCCGTCGAACACGGGCTGAGTCTCCATCGTGGGTGTCGGCTTCGACCCGTCATCTGAATTGAGGGTTAAAAAGAATCGAAAAGAGACTACCATTATTGAGGTAAATACTATCTACTCTCCAGCACTGTTGAATGGTTGGGGTTTGCACATGGCCCGGCCAAGTCCCAATGAAGAGACCAAAGAGAAAGGG